ACAATCTTCCTGAATGAAGGGCAATCAGAATTCCATTGCCCACAGTCATCCAATAATTAATGCATTTCTAGGAAAAGCTACCTTAAGAAGGCTGGCTCCCATCTGGGTATAGCCTATTCCACATTTACACAGCAATTTACTCTTTACAAAGTGCTTTCACATTCTCATCACTTTCAACACTACAATAGGAAGAGACAGTGACATCTATATGAGAACAAAACAGAAACTCTTGGAAGAAAGGAGTATGACTCAAGGAGGGAAATTCCTGTTGCCGTAAGAGGAGTGTTGGTGTATAAATGCTCTATATATACCAATTAAGAATTTCCTTTCATGTCCAGCATTTCTACTCTCTCCAAGAAGAGCATCAAAGCTGAAGGAGAAGCAGCAGCAGGAACAGCAGCAGCAATAAACAAACATGATTGTGAAGGGCATGGCTATAGCCTTGGCTGTGATATTCTATGCTACAGTTGTTCAAGGTAAATGGTACTTTTTACTTCAGCCTATAAATTCCTTTTCTAACGTTTCAAATGTCTTTTCTTCCACTTTTATCCTAACAGGAATGATAAATTTTTATTTACTCTCACATATCAGAAGTTACCATACAGCTTTGGCACAGAAATGTTGGAAATGTTTAAGGCACTGGAAATGACTAGAGATGATAAACTTCATGGAATTTTTGATCTGGCTACAGTATCTGTCAAGAGCCTTGTAATAGTTAATAATAGTTTAATAGCCTGTAATAGTTTTAAATGTCTGTTTTTAAAATCCAAGGGCAAACAAGCTTCATCTCCAATAAACTTCTTTCATGCTTCTTTTCATTTTTTAACGGTTTGCTGACAAATTTAAAGAGAAAATCATCAACATCTTACTTATTTAACTCCTTTCCCATTAATGGTTGTGTCAACTGCTATTTTTGACAAATCAATATCTTCATCCTTAATGAAAATCCTGCTCACATTCATCCCCAGGATTATAAACCACAGTCCTCTGCTGCAATCAGATGTGTCACTAACTAACGCTATCATCTGTTCTAGGCTTCCCCATGTTCAAAAGGGGACGTTGTCTCTGCATAGGCCCAGGAGTAAAAGCAGTGAAAGTGGCAGATATTGAGAAAGCCTCCATAATTTACCCAAGTAACAACTGTGACAAAACAGAAGTGATGTAAGTAATGGCCTTGCTGAAGATGACAATGGTGGGGGCTTTTTTATGTTTTTCCATCCAAACTTTAAGACTCTTTTGTATCTTCCCTTAACAGTATAACCCTGAAAGCACAAAAAGGACATCGATGCCTAAATCCCAAAGCGAAGCAAGCAAGCCTGATAATCAAGGTAGGTTACAGATTACTTCCTGTTATAACCTGTTCTAGCCGAGCCAGGTCTTTCGAAAAAAGAAAACAGACAACTGCAGAAAGATCCTGCTTTGCTCCCGCGTAAAGCAGACTGTTAAGGGTCCCTTGGCTATACTTGCCTTTCATATGTTTTTACATGTCACTGGGAAAACGGGAACAGCCCAAGTAAATAAAACTCTCATTTTCTCATTACAGAAAGTTGAAAGGAAGAATTTTTTAAAATATCAAAATGTATAAAGTCCTGGAAAAGAGGATTTAAAAACCTAGAACAAGTTTAACTGTGACTACTGAAACAAGAATTCTGCCATAAGAAACTGACTTTCTCCTTCTTGTTCCAACATACATTCATCCGTTTCTAGGTCTAACCTAGAACGTAGAACCTTCAAGAAAATGTGATGTTTATAACCATTCTGCTGTGACTATGAAAACATTTCTGTATCTGATCTATGTTCCATATTACTATCTGTGGTTACAATGGAGACATTAACGTTATTACTGGAGTAAAGCCCTTATGGGTCAAAACCATCCGTGTGTGCTAAAACATTCCTCAAATAATTTTTCCTGCAAATACACATTTCTTTCCCCAAATATAATGTAGCACATAAACAGCTAGAAAAAAATTTTTACACATCTTTTTTTGTTGTATAAAAAGACTATAATTCATGAAATATACTGTGAGAAAAATTATAAGCTACGGCAAACTGCAGGTATTTCATAATTGAATTAGTAGCACTGGTCTTTTTTTTTTCCCAACTTTTATTCATTGAGATCTTTGAAGCAATTAGGATATGTGTGTTTACTGTACATTTTGGTTTTCTCTATCTGTATAAATGATAGCAGTATCTTGGATATATTTTAAATATAAAATGTTTCTGTCACCAAAAAAATGCTGAAAAATAAATATTTAAAATATATATGCATATCTGGCAATCACCTTTACTTTTTGTGATTCTATTCCTTAGAGAAATACATAATCTAATCCATTTCTTTAGTCATGCCTGCATACTATAAAATTTAGGGATACCTAAGACTAGTTTACTTTGAAAAGAATCAAAATCATTTTTCTCTAATAAGCTACCACAACCCTTCTTAAAACAGAAGCCATATACTTTCCAGAACATTTAAGATACCTTTAACAATTTTACCTTATTTCAAGAAGCATACAGCTTTGCCACATGCAGAATTTGTTTAGAGGCAGACTTTAATGAGTAGTTGGGAAGGACAGCTGTTTGATTTTGGCGGGGGTGGGGGGAGTCTTCCTAGTCCAAACCCCTTTTTCACTTTGGGCAAATCCCTTAATACGTGAATCATGGTGGGATGCCAAAAGATAGAAGCCAAGGGGAGGAAATCCTCCCCTGCACCCAAAACACGGATTCAGGCAGGCTGTTCCTACCCTAGACTTTGAACTCCCACCAGTACCACAAAGATGCTATCAGTAAGAACATTACTTAAAGCGGCAGCAGCAGGAAAGTCTTACAGTAGAGGCTTTCTAGCACACGTTCTGGTAGCATGACTTTGGCTAGTCCCTCTTGCCACCTAGTTCCCTTAGGTCCTTCCTTGTTCACTTTCCAAGTCTGATTCTCCAGTCTTCCTGTGGATTCTTTGACCATCAATGAAATTCTTTTTCTCCTTAAGCCAGCCAGAGCTAGTTTCTCTGCCAAAAGCCTTGACTGACATAACACTCTTTAAATAGGCAGCTACACATTTGAAAAATTAAAATATTTATTATAGAATTATAATCAGGTATATCTATATTATCTACCTATATAATGAAACTGAGCCAAGTCTGAGATTATCATGTACATTGCAACTAGAGTTTCACTAAGTACCTAAGAAGAATAACTACTTCCTGAAAATCCTGGCATCATAAATGCAGATGCAGTTCCTTGGTGCTGCTCAATGAACTGCTACTACATTGGAAAATGCTCTGAGGTGAATTATAGACTTTATATAATTTATCATAAATCATGACTTAGCATTTAATTTGCTTTGTTTAAATATCTGATTTATGGGAAGGATGGGGAAAGGCACCACACTTCCCCAAAACATATTTACTTTCGCGGTGTCCTCAAATTTTACCTCTTCCCCCAAATGATTAATTCTACCATATTTGTAAAAGTCCTGTCAAATGCATGAATTCAGAAACATGGCACTTTATTTCAATGTGTGTTCTCCATCTCTGTTATCTATAGCAATTCCAAAAAATAAAAAACTAGGGCTGTTCCATCTCTTCCTCTGTCTTGATCCTGAGCCTCTCTTCAACAAGGCCATATGCTTATGATTAACTACCCTGGCTTTATCACATCCCAAGTTGTCACAAGACCCTGAAAACAGAATCATCTAAATTGCCTTCAATATGTGCGTCAATATACAAACAAATTTATCTTCGTATACACATATGCACACATGTTCCAGTCAGCACTTTTAAAAAGATAATAGGAAGGAAAGCAAGGATTAGGAACCTCTTGCCATTTATATTCAGCATCTGCCCAAACGATATTACCTGAAAGTATAATTGATATCACATTAAATTTATTCCATTTGTCCTTTCTCTCCCATCCCTATGGCTAAAGCTTCAGTTCAGGCCTAATCACCCCTTATTCAGACTACTGTAAGAGCCTCCTTGGTTTCCCTACCGCAGTCTCCACCCTCCAACACCACTCTAAAGGAACCTTTGACAAAGACTCTCTTCCTGACCAAACTTTAGTCGGGTTCCTCTGAACCCTCTTTCCAACCTTTGTGTTCATCTTTGCAGAATTTGGTTTTAGATAGAATCATGTTAACTCAATTTAGCGAGAATCCTCCGCCTTCAACATCTAATCGCCCTCGGTATCTGTTCAAATTCCTCATGGTTCACCATTCTCCAGGCGGTATCTGAAGATCCAGGCTTGCTTTCAACAAGGGTATTGTTAAGTCAGTTTAGCAAAATTACCCTATCCTCTTATTAATTTTTCATCCAGTGACACCTTCATCTTTGACTATAAATCCCCACTTGTTCATGCTGCATTCGGAATTGAACCCACTTCTATCCCGAGGTCTCTCCTCTCCTACTGTGGTAATCCCTGAATAAAGTTTGTTTTTATTGCTTTAACTACAGTCCAGCTCTAGCTTTCTTTGACATCTTCTAAAATGAAAATAGAGGTGGTCCCAGGGTTATGGATAAGATTATGTTCCTGAGAACTCTTTGGGTTGGATCTGTACATAACTCAGATCCCTGATGAATAGCCTATATACAATGGTAATAATACTACCATAATGGCTCATATGTGGTAATAATAGTACAATACTGTAATAATAATAATATCCCTGTACTGTAATAACAGTTACAGAAACTATTGTGGTCTTTCTTTTAATTCAAACAGAACATAAAAACAAATTCACACAAAAAGTTTAGATAGGAGATGGGAGAAATTTCAAAGAAGAATATCGAAGGTTAACACTCACCTAATGTTGAATCAATGTTGCCCCTCACTTGCTGAAAGGGGCATTTTTGAGGCAAGAAGGCAGGCTAACATTAATCAGAAGATGATGACAGAGATGGTGCTAGAGAATCAGGATTTGATTCTGTTGCTGGAGGAGGAGAGCTTACTGCCGAAGTCAGTTTCTTGAAAAAAGGTATCTAGGGTTGTTGGCACAGGCTTTTTCTTTTTTTCATCATAAATGGCCTTGTGGCAGCTGATGTTCTCACTAACTGCGCAGTAAACCGCTCAGTATTAGGATCTAACTCCTCTAGCTTAGCAAATCCTGCTTCAATGAGACAAAAGGCTTCAGCTAATTTGTTGTAAACTTCCTTGGCTCTGGATTTTCTGATTCTTTGTGTTCTTGTGTTTCCATCAGCTGCTTCTCTATCTATCAGACTAGCTGCTAGCGTAAAGATGCTGCGCCAATGAACTGCTTATGCCATGCAGGTTTGTTTACATGCGCGGAAGAAATTAGTTCCCAAATTATTAATTGAATTATTTGATTATAAATTATCCTTATGGGGAGATTTGGGAGCCTGTTCATAAGTATGGAATGCTGTTAAGTCAGATTGTCTGTAACCCAGGGACTGCCTACAGATTACAGTCATCCCTTTATACACGTACAAGATTGATTCCAAGACATATACTAAAATCTGCGCATAGTCAAGTCCTGCAGTCGGCCCTGAAGAACCGGTCTATATGAAAAGCCAGCCCTCTGTATGTGCAGGTTTTGCATCTCGCAAATTGCATTTGGTTGAAAAAAAATCTGCATATAAGTGGACCTGCACAGTTCAAACCCATGTTGTTCAAGGGTCAACTCCTTGACCCTTTTAAAATTTCTCCTTTTAAAATCTTTCAATGCCTCCTCATCACCTTCAGAATAAAGTCCACATTGCTTAGCACAGTATCAGTCTATCTTTCTGGATGCTGCTGCTAATTGTGGCATCTTTGCATTCTCTACTCCAGTCATATTCAATTATTTGCAGTTTCCAAGCTATTTTCTATCTGAAATGCCCTTCTTCTTTATCCACTTCTCCGCTACCTACTCATCTTCCAAGACTCAGCTAAAGAGTTATCTGCCGTAATCCCTTCCTGAGGCATCCCACATATATACTCTTTAGAACTGATCGCCCTCCGCTTAGTACCCTCACTGTACCTACATTTTAGCACTTACTGCAACACATAATTTTACCTAATTATAATGTCTTCCTTTCCTAGGAGGAAGACTCCTTTCAGCAATCACCAGATCTCTTCGACAATCTCAGAGCCTCCATGGATGGCCTGCAGCTAATGGTTATCTCACAATATTTGTTTCTTCAGGACTGAGACCATGTCATACTCACTTGTAGCACAGGAGTACAGTACCTTGGCAGGTGCACAATTCTTGCTGGTAAAATAGGACTCTTTGTGCCCAGGGTACCAGAAACCAAAAGGTTTTAACCAGGTTCCACATGAAGTGGTCTTCCTGTTGCATAGTAAGTGATCTTCATCTTTGTATATAGTTGGCATATGTTGCATTGAATAATGCTCTTAGAATACTTGTAGGCACCCTGAATACTTAAGGTTTTCTAATTTGTGGTAGAGATGGTCTTGTGCATAATTTATATTTTTTCATTAATTTCTTTTATCACCATTGTTGTTTTTTATTTGCTTTGCATTAAAGGTTCTAATCAATAGAATTAGAATATCATACATGTGCTTTGTGATAGTCTGAAGTGAGTCTCATGCATGTGAATATCATACATGTGCTTTGTGATAATCTCAAGTGTTCAGTATGTGACAACCATGAATGAACTGAATGAGCACCAATTATACCATACTTTGCTTCTATTACAGCAGTTCTCAAAGCACGGCACTCTCTGCCCCTCTCCCAGAGGTCCCTAGACACTTTCAAAAAGCCCACAGTCAAAACTATTTTTATAATAATATCAATGTCATTTATCTTTTTTATTCTCATTCTGTCATGAGTTTCCCAGAGATTACATAGCAAGTAATACTGCAACAAATTAAATGCAGAAGTAGATATGAGAATCTAGCTGACTTCTATTGAGACAGATTTGCAAAAATGTAAAACAATGCAATTGTTTTCATCAAAAATTTTTTTGGTTTTGCAAA